TCCTGGGACTTTTGAATCTTGAGCAAGGTTTTGGTTTAACATCTGTATTGCTGCTAGCGATAAGCAGTAGCAATGCAAAAGAGTCATTGGATGGTGACTGACATTGCACCTGCAGGAAACTTCTGTATCTTCTGTGTGTGGATCTGTCTGTCAGTGCGGACAGATTGCATGTACACACAAAGTGAGTATTTTAGAAAGGATTTACAACTTTATTTGTAATAAAAAGGAGCTAACGGTTTGAAAAATACGTGGTGTTAAAAAACAACAAAAAAATCTGTATGCTGTATTTCTTCAAGGGGAGTACTGGGAGACCTAAACAGAGAGTATGCTCAAAATAGTAAAGAAACAGCCACATCTCTTAAAAATGTATTAAAATTTCTAAGAATCTAGGCATCTTCCTGATTACCTAAGAAAACATGTCAGTTTTACATGTGAGGAAATGATGGGAAGTGAAGTTGTAAACCCTACATAGATTCAGAAACAGTTGCTTCAAAATTATTTTCATAAGGTTTTCTTGGGGTGGGAGGGGAGAATATATTTAAAGATTTTGCAAGAACGGACAAGAGACTTATGTTCCCTTCCTCCTTACTGCCCCACCCATGGGCCAGTCTCTCATGCAAAAAGATTTTGTGGTGCAGTTGACATATTCCTTGGCATCTTTTCACCTTTTTGATAATTAGAAATTATCCACTTAGTATTAATAGAAGAATTGTGTATATAATTTTTATCATCTATAGAACCTTCAATACAGGTAGATACCTATATTTCAGGCGAGTGGATGTTGTATTTGAAGTGGTAGAAAAACTGATTGCAGCCTGCATTCTTTCATGGCTCCAGCTTAACTGTTTTTGGTAGGAAGCAAAAAAAATTCTTTTCTGAATTTGAGGGTGTAACTTCTCTGGAGCTGTAATGTATTTTGAGGGGAACAAGAGCTTGCATGCACAGGCTAGACTATCTTGAAGCAATGGCTGTATGACTTTTATTGTACTCTCAATGAAGAATTGCTGCAAGTTTGACAAGTAACAAATTTGACACCTTTAAATTGCTTTCAGTGATATTTTTTTTTTTTTTCTGTTTTCCTGAAAGTACTGAAAGGAAGAAATTGAAGGTAGCTTCAAACTGCTGTGAATGAAGATGTAAACAGGAGCATTCATAGTTGAAAGGAAGATTTGCAATTCTGCGTCTTGCTTAATATTTACAGGAGTACATCTTTGTGCAACCTGTTTTGGATGTGTATTAAACTGCGTGTAACTCTCAAATTTTCCCCTCCAACTTCCAGACGGCATTTGAGAGGGTACTGTTGGCACTGATACAAATCAGAAACGGTTTTAATATGGACACACTGTACCCTTGACTGATAATCATAAAGAATTTATTTATTTGATATTTTTAAAATTACAAATGAAAATTTTTCTAACATTTTGAACAGTTAGTTGAATGAACCTGCCCTGCAGTAATGCTGAATGATTGGGGTTTTTAATTACAACACCCTGCTGTTTCTCTGTAAGGAGAGAAACATTCATTTTTTTTCCTTTTTATAAATAATTCAAGCCTCTGTTTGATTGAATACTATCTTTTCTTTTCTAATACTTAGTGCGATTGTGTTGTAGCGTGATTCTCTTCCACCAATTTATTTGTAAATGCGATGTTTTAGTCACATTACAGGACTTGTCCCACTCCTGTGCATTCCGGCTGAGGGCAACAAATCGTACACCCAAGCATGAGTTGAGGCTCTTGTCTGTGTCTGAGGAAAACACTACACTGAATGTCACATTTTAGTGAACCTTTTGCGTAGTATGTTCCCTAGATCGAACATGAATTGCTGTTATGTTTTTGTGATGTTTTGGAGATTCTTACCCAAGTTCCTGTTCCTTGTTCTCGTTCCTTCCCATTTCTTTTGTCTTAGTTTAGGCATAAAGTGGTTGAAGAAACAGCCCTGTGTCTGCAAAACTGTTAGAGAAACACATGATATTAGGCTGACAAACCTAGATGCTTATCTTGTGTGTTACTTTTGACTGATAGGGCATTTTGGGTACCAGTTAAGTTTCTGGTTTTATCTCAGTGATCTCTGAGAGCCTGTAGATGTTTAATGGGTGCATGTTACATTCTGGATTGCGAAAGATCTCAGATTTTGAATTTCTCTGTCTTAGAAACCTTTGGAATAGGTTAAAAGATAATTCACAGAATAGCATGTGCTAAACTGCACCTTTAAAAACAACTGCTCGATAAGACTGAATTTGTCATGCCGCAAAATGTTATAGCTGGATCACTATTCACAGACCAGCGTTTCCTGCCCAGGATGACTCCACAACATACTACCTAATGCTCTGGAGAAAGAAGCTGAGAGCAGGTTATGCTCCCTGGATGTGAAGAGTAAAGTCAAAAGAATATAAGCTTATGTCTTGTAGAAATTGTGATTTCCAGTTGCTGATAGCTTATTGACGCCAGGAATTCTTTTTTGAGTGTATTTGCCAGAAATGAGTTAAAATGGCACCCTAAGGTACTGACTTTCTCAGTCTTTTTTCTTGTCTGCTTAGTGCAAGTTTTTTTATTATTAAACCTCAGGCTGTGATTTCCTCAGAATTGAAGTGTAAGCCAGTTCAGAGCAGGTTGTTATTCTAATGGAAGATCCCAAAGGATATACCAAGTTTTATTGGTCATTACTAGTTGATTCTTATCACTGTTCCATAATGACTGGCCAGGGCTGGAGAGAAAAGGATCACGACACTTTGTTGGTGTTTCTTTTGGGACAGTTGGTGTGGAGAAACAAAGTTTAGCAGCTAAAGAACCTGAACCAAAAAGACAGGACTGTAACTCGACAAATCAGCATACTGCATTTCTGGCTCCAGTGTCCCATCTAAGGATCCATGAACTCCATCCTTCTCTGTGTGGATACAAGAGGTCAAATGCTATGCAGTTCACCACACAATTTTTCACTTTAGAAATAGTACAGTTACAAAGATAAGTCTCAGGGTCTGGCGGCAACACATGATTGAAAAGTCGGTGGCTGAAGCTTAAGTAAGACAGATGTTATGTTGCTAGGAAAAAAAACCAAAAAACCTTCAAAGAACTGGTCATAGTGTTGGCCTTTCAGTTCAAGAAAATTATTCTCTACCAGTTTCTTAAGTAATATGATACTTCAGATGCCTGCGACACTGCCGTATGTGGCTATGTAATTAGTGTCCCTCTAGCAACTTGCTCTACTTGATTCTGACATAGCTGTTTGGAAAGACTGGAACATCTAACAGATGCTATGAAATTCTTTAGAAGTGCAATTGGTAGATATTCTGGTGGTACAAAATCACAGAATTAGCTTTTGATGCAATCGTTGTTTTGTATAAGTAATGTTGATCTTCAAAAGTTCATAAAATAAATTAAACACCTGTCCTATTTGTGCGTTGTTACTTTCAGTCTGGTTAGGTTAATAGAGAAATTAAGCGAGATCTTGACTAGATCCCATGGCCATTTACCTTTAAGTAATCAACTCTTAAGATCTCTTGCAGAAAAATCCTGTTCAGGTGTGACTTCAGTATTCTCTCTAGGAAAAAGTGTGCGTTCACAACTTTCGTTAGCCACCTAAATTGTGCGACGTGCAGAATACAGAAACAGGGTGCCTAAGTTTCCAGTGTGGCCAGTACAGAGAAGGCAGTAGCTCCAGGAGGCAAGATTTGAATACTATGAGTTGGATGCCTAAAATATATGGTGTCAATTCCTTTTCAGATAATGATTTCTTCACCTTTGTTTAGTGACTGTCTTTTCTGTTACACAATGTGTAAATTAAGTGAATATTTTAAGTATCATATCAATGTTACAGTAATTAAGTTGCATTAAACTCTCATTTTATGCCTACATATTGCTCAGAACTTTTGTGTAGTTTTGTTTCACTAAAAAATGGAATTTTCTTATTATCAGCGCTTGATATCTCTGTCTACATTAAAGTTCACTTCTCCCTATGTCAATGTAAGAAAAGTGTCTGTAAAGGATACTTTCAGCACATTTCTGCAAGTCACTGTCTTGCAGACATGTCAAGTTTTCTACCAGAGTATTGCTGCAGCTGTTCACTTTTTAGTGTTAGTCCCCACGAGTGTAGTGCCAGATTTAGACATACAAAGAATAGCCCATATCCAAATCATAGTTTAGATAGTTTGACAGCTGTCAAATACAATATTTTTTTCATACCTCAATGTTACAACATACGCTGCTCTCCAGGGGAGGCAAAAGCTTTCTGTAGATAACCTTATTGCTTTGCTTCTGTTGAGATGTCTGAGTGCTGCTGAACTGTGTCCTAAAAATTACAGTGCCACATAAGCCTGTACAGTCACTCATGTGTCTAGTGTTGGGCTCTTCCAGAATCCTTAGTGTGACTGACAGAGCAAAAACAGTTGAAATGAATGCCTTTGCGGGTTGTCACCATAGCTTCTCATCCACTGTTCAACTCACTATTGTATCACTGTTCTCCTCATTAAGTGTCTAATTACTTTAATAGACTTTCCTGACACCTTTTTTCCCCAATTATGAGGTGTTTGCCTGATGGTTTGGAGATGAGCTGAAAGACCTTATACCATGCTCAGAAACAAGCAACTGCTATGACAGAAGCTATGCATTGTGGCAAGGAGCTGCAGGGCTAAGTAGAAAAGAACGAACAAACTTTTAGGTAATAGTGCCAAGATATTTCAGTGAAAAGGTGTAGGATTAGACTATGTGGCACTGGAAACATGGTAGTTCTGACAGTACTCATTAATGGAGCAGAAGCTTTCAGAGATGAAAACTACATGGAGTCAAATTCTTTTCTTGTTTAAACAGTGTTAATTTTGACATCTCTCTGTGTGTTGGATTTATGATTTCCTTGTTCCTTTTTATTCTTTCAGTGCTTACTATTTAGGAGAAAAAATTTAGTCCATTGCTTTGATTGTTCCAAGTAGAAGGGTTATTTTCAGATACAAGTGTTAGATCTGTTTAATTATTTGTGTTTTAATTAGTTCTTGTTATTGTCTTGAAAGGGGCTGACAATATCAGGAAATACTGGAGTCGTTACTACCAAGGATCCCAGGGGGTAATATTTGTATTAGACAGTGCCTCCTCTGAAGATGACCTAGAAACTGCTAGAAATGAACTGCATTCTGCTCTCCAGCACCCACAGTTATGTACTTTGCCGTTTTTAATACTGGCCAATCATCAAGACAAGCCAGCAGCTCGCTCCGTTCAAGAGGTATGTTAACGTGGCAGCATCTTGCCTGTTTTATTTACTATCTGCACGTTACTCACCCAGTATTACTTGTTACCCTGACATCCTGGTTAAGGACTGGCCTCAGCTACTCTTCACTGTAAGCATGCAGTCCAAGAGCAGTCCCAGCCCATAAGAACTTAGTCCAATGCACTCTACACAGGCTTAGTTGTTCTGGAAAATAGACAAGTAGTACTTGGATACAAACAGTTCTCCTGCTTTCACCATATTTTGCTTAAGGGAGAAAAGATGTTTTTAAACTACTCATCAAAAGCTGCTGGGACAGTGATTTTTTGTTTAGCTAGTTTTTTTAATTTACTGTTTGTTTTAATTTTGCACTACCCTGTTACTCTATTATTTGCAACTACTTAAAGCAGTAGATTGCAGTTATAGGTGGTCTTTTATATAGACGCTTTTTTTCTGAACTGCTATGTACTGGTGTGAGGGCAGAGTTGCAATTCCTGTTCTGAAGTCCTTGTTCTGATTTTCTTCTTTAAGGATTAATGTCTTTGTGCAATTTGTAGCTATGACATGGTAAATTATAATATTGTTCTATTCAGTGTACCTTTTAAGTTTCTGAAAAGTTCCTCTTACCTACGTTCCAATCTGTCATATACCTTTGAGGAAATGCTGAAAGTAACTGATTCCTCTTGAGAAGCTCTACTTACTCTTCTGAAGTTATAGGAAGAAGTTAAAATTTTCTTGTCATTCTGTTCATGAATGTCGTTTAAAGGACTTTTCCTATTAAAGACTGTATGTGAAATCTCCTATTTGTTCTGTGAGTGGTGTTTTTTATTACAGCAGAGTGAAAACTGTTTCAGCACCTTATTGTGTTGTTGCTTTGTATTTAAACGTTACTTTCTTAGATGCACTTCTTTGTCTAAAGTATGATCTTTCTGAAGAATAGCAATTCAATTCAATGCAAAACTTACTGATCTGTAGGTTAGCTGCTATTTGTACAGTATAGTTGTATGTACTTTCTGTACTACTTTATTTCTGCTTATGCCTCCTTTCTTAGCCAAAAGAAATAAGAGGATAAAAAGTTAAGCTTATTGTGTGTTTAAGAGGAGGAGTAAATGTGACTGGAGTATAGCGATGTTTTTAATATGAGAGAAGGAGAATAAGTAACAACCGTGTAAGCTACACTGTAAAATGTTGTATTAAATTGTTGGTTCTTTCCTCCAAGAAACCATAATTGGGGCGGGAGAAGGAATTTATATTTAGTATATCAAGTTACTTGGAAAGGTAAACTGAAATGATGCAGGGGTAGAGTCTACAAGTTATAGGTCTTGTTCATCTGAAAACAGATTTGGGAGGAAGGAATGAGTTTTAAAGGAAATGTACTATGTATTTTTATGTATCAGTTTATTAATTTTTTCTAGTTTATTGTGCAATGTAAAAGTAAAGCATATATTCCTAAACTTTCCGTTTAAAAATGACAATATCCTGAGGCACAACTGGCTTCATTTTACTTATCCAAATATACCCAAGATGTTTTGATTTTTACTTCTTTTTTTTTTTTTTTTTTTTTTTTTTTTTTTTTTTTTTTTTTTTTTTTTTTTTTTTTTTTTTTTTTTTTTTTTTTTTTTTTTTTTTTTTTTTTTTTTTTTTTTTTTTTTTTTTTTTTTTTTTTTTTTTTTTTTTTTTTTTTTTTTTTTTTTTTTTTTTTTTTTTTTTTTTTTTTTTTTTTTTTTTTTTTTTTGTAGAGCAATACAGATTACAATTTCCATCAACGGGAATGCTTTTTCCACATGATTGAAGTATTTTTTATTTTATTACTTTTTTCCTTTGTAAAATGGCCAAATTTGGTTTAAAGTTAATTGAGGATTTTGATTAGAAATATTGTTTAAGAAATGTTACTTGTCTGGTTTAATAAGAATAGCGAATACAATGCCAGTGAGTTTGTTTTACAGCAAATTATATAGGTAACTCTTTTGCAGTTGAGCCCATGTGGATAGACTTTTGAGCCTGAACTGAATCTTTTGTGTATTTAGAGTTAGCATTCCTTCTGTTTTATTGGCAGTACCCTCATTTTCTCCTCATCCATCATTACCAATTCCTTGATATCTCAGTACAGGAGTAGATCTTTATACGTTTACAAAAGTATTGAAATATATTTCTACTGCGTGCTCTTTTTAAAAAAAAAAAATCTTTTGGTGCATTATCATAGCAAACAAGTCTTGATTGCTACTTTGAGGTTGTATGAAATGCTGAATACAAGGATTTTGTTAAATGTGCACAGCTTATGCATAATTTCAGGAAAAAAAATCCCTGTATCAAAAGCTCAGTGTTCGTCTTTGAACTTCTTAAGAGCAGTGGAAAACAAAATTATTTAAAAAATGAAGGAGAATGTCTCGAAGTAGTTACTTTGTCCCTGAAGAAGTAATGTCCTGTGGTTGCTGTTTATGCAAAGTAGGAGCCTTATTTGGTCGATTGTGTTGATGTTAAAATGAACATTTCTTGCTTTCCTAAAGGCTTTACTGTGCTGTTGTCCTCATTAGTGAGATGTGAAATGAAAGTAAAACATGGAATCGTAAGACCATTCCTTATTTTAAAAAAAAATTATTTAAGGATTTAACAAAAATAGCATGTTGGGCCCTGAAAGTTTTATTAGACATTTTTGCAGAACTAAGTCCATTAATTATAGGTGTTTCCTTGCTTTTTTATGTGTCAGAAGACCGATGAATCACAGTTAAAATATAGAAGTATGTATGCATTCTTTTAGGCAACAAATTGCCTTTCTTTAATGGATATGAAAGGACCCCTTGGAGTATAATTAAAGAAAATGTCTGACTTGAGTGGTGCGTAATAGGAATTGTAGAAAAATATTTATCCACAACAAAAATCCTTCACAAAACTGTACAAATGCCAAGCAGTTTATGCAACAGATGTTAGTTATATTTATTGCTGGGAAGTTCAGTTGCTTCGTTTTTTCAAAATTTTATATTTTGTCTTAATATGTTTTCTCCATGCATTGCTTAGGTAGAAATGATAATGTAGAAGCTGCGTGCTGTAAGTATGAAGAAATGTATGAATAGTTCAATTCAAAACTATAATGGCTATTTGTAAGAATATACAAATAACTTGTTTAATTTACGAGATATAATTTAACCTAATTCATTTTGCAGGCCTGGTTGGAGATGTATTTCATATTACTGAAATTATCAGGAAAATTACAGGAGAAGCTAAGTTGAAATACTGATCAGTAAAAGTAATCTTTATTTCCTGCGTTCAGGTGCTGGTTGGCTGTTTCCTAGGTTTTTTTTATTTTTAAAATGAAATCAAGGAAGTAAATTTGACATTTCATTCTAGAAACTATACATTAAGATGTCATTTTAAATATTGTACCTCTTATTTCTCTTATGTCAGTTTCTATGGTGTTTATTCCACCTTCCCATGTCAAAGATATTTGTAAGTTGTTCTGTTGTTCCTGTGACAGTAATTTAAGTGTTTTCAAATAGCTGCTGAATGCATTCAACTGAGCCATGCTGAAATAAATACTGTGTATGTTAACCAGACTGTAAAACTCAGACAATCATATTTGAGTCAAGAGGTATGCTGCAAAGTAACCTTGTTTTAGATTAAACTCAAAATAACGAAGAATCAATCATATGTAAATCAATTCTGACTTCGGTTTTGGAAACTTCCTGAATTAGTAAATAAAAATAGTTAGAAGTGAAAAATAAATTTAGTTACTCAGCATATAGGAAGATGGTGGCATATCAGTTTGGCCACTGTTTCCAAAGTACAGGGTACAATTCTCAAACAATTCTCTAATTATGTATTTTTTTAAATAAATATCCTGATGGAGCGTGCTTTCGGTTTTCCATCACAAAAGTGCTTTCGATTATAACTAGTGTTTTTGATCAGTCACATTTCTGTTACAGGCTTAAAATATTACAGGAGCTCTATGGTGATAAAAAGCGCTGTAAATTGCTTTGCAAGGGAACAGCCGCATTACTATGACTACCAGCTTGTTGATTTCTACTTTGGAATGTGTGCTACTTTGTGTAATAGTACTGGAAGCTGGATATTACAGCGGATTCCTGTGATTTGAACCAGTATGCAAACTCAGAGTCACTTTCCTCCCAGGTCAGAGCAATATTTAGAAGTCGTGGATAGAATACATTTGAAGCTGTTCATAGCCACTGTATTTTAGGAACAGGCTATGCTGAGCAAACACTTGTCTGGAACTGTTGAGGACTTCAGGAAGCCATGTAGGACTGGCCAAAGGAGAAACCAAATCAAAACATGAAGCTTTGCAGGTTCAGTGGTGAAGCAGCTACCTGTTTGGCAGCATGTTCGTTTTGAGAGGCTTCTTTGCTTTTTGTGTCGTTGTAGGTACCTTTCCACTGAATTGTTCTATTCTAAGATCATATATGTGAATGCATTCATCAAGTACAACATTTTGGTGGGGTTTTTGTTTTATGCAAAAGTGCAGGCGATTAATACATTTCTTTCGTACGTAGAAGTTGCTGGCCACTAGGAGAAATCATTGAAGATATGTTCTAAATTTCTGTTTTAAAAAATGCTGGAACTTTTTAATATAGATCTACTAGTGGACAGTGAATCAAAAAAATCTTCTCAGTCTATTTTAAAATTATATTATTTTTAAAATGTTGTTGTCAGGAAAAAAAAATGTGAAAAGGTTTTGTAGTGCACCAATCACAAGTGCTTTTTTTCTTGCACATAAGATCTGACTTTACAGTTGTAATACTGGTGGCTGGGTGAAACTGCAGAGGAAAGTCTTTTCTGTTTTCCTTTTTTCTTTGGTAGAGCAAGATTAAAAATATCTTTGAATTACAAACAGTATTTTCAAAAGCAAGTGTGAAAGATTGATCCCATATTTACATAGACTGTTAGGCATTTATCTGTTGGAGAATATTGTTAGACGTTTGGGTTATGAATTGCAGACGGTGTTTAATTTGGTTTTCTGCTAGCAGAAAAGTGGAGTGTGACTCTCCTTGTTAGAAGAGCCACCTCAG